GTTCTTGATAGTGGCACTAATTGTAGTCTCTCCAGAAATGTAGCATTGCCTTCAATTTACTTGTTTGATAGGTAGGGGAAGTTCTAGTATCTTCTGCTTGCCCTCATTTCAAAAGGTCGGGGAATCTGTGGGGTTTCTGCCAGTAGGTGAGTATACTTATTACAGTTGTGCTTTCAGGAACTGGGAAGACAGCCTCAGAGTGGATTTGGGAGATGAACCTGAGCTGAAACTCCATTTATCATGTGACCTCCATAAGCCCCTTTTCTAACTGGTAGTAGATCAGGTCTCTGAAAGTTAGTGTTAATTCAGATAATTCTTGAAAAGTTTGATAAAAATTTCTCCTTCTCCATGGATAATTTTCCTGCCGAATAACCACAAGGGAAACAGGTCCTTTGGGGGTAGCCAGGAGGAAGTTTGATGGTATGAATTTTTGGCTATGTAGTAGGTTCTTTGTGGAGCATGATCTCTTCATTCGAGAGACTTGATATCTAGGAATTGGTCAAGTTTGGGAATTGGTGGAGGAGCCGTGATATTCATTTATGGTGATTCCTATCAGATTACTCTTCACTAGAACTAGAATTTTCAATTCTGTTTCTTTCTTGGGTACATAATAATCAACCACCCAACACCAAAGATCTCTACAGGTCAGACTATTCTGATTACTCCTTAGACTGCTGCATTATATCCATGACTACCATGTTGTTGGCTTGAAGTGCTCTTTTGACTCTTGTAACTTCAGGATTTAATCATCTTTATTGAATTCAGGGAACTCTTTCTGGCTAAAGTTTCTACTTACAGTCCTGGCCAACAGTAATAGCCACCATACAGGTCTTCAGGAATGCGGGTGCTTCCTTCACAAATGTATTTCTCCTAGCCTTGGTGTGGTGAATATCTTATAGATCCTCTTGGGGACTATAGTAAGGAGTAAATGAGAGTCCATAAAATAATAAATTATCTAGTCCAGCATTCCAGTTCCAAGTCTTTAGGTGCCTTTGTCTATGGTATACTAAGGAAATTCTGATATTTCAACTCATCTGTAGGTCCAGGTTTCATTCACCCAACCAAGCAAACCATTAAAAGCCATGCTTAGCTTCTTAAGCTAACATATTATCTCTGCATCTCTGCTCAATTAGCCTGTGTTAGTAAATTTGACCAAAGACAACACTGTCTTGTCACACTGATTCAGTATACTTTGGATCCATTTCCACATGTCCCCAGTTTCTGTTTATATAAATTAGCAAAATCATGCAATTATTTTGGTCTACTCTGCTCCTCCTCATGGACTATACTGTGTATCTCAACCCGGGGGGTATAATGACGCTTGCTATTGGTTACAGGTCTAGGTCAGTGTTCTCCAATTGAACTTTCTGTGATGGTGCTCATTCCCCATAACATCTATGCTGTCTACAAAGGGCTACTGGACATTTGAAGTATGGCATAACTGAGGAACTGAATTTTAATTTTAATTGAATTTTAATTAAATTTTATTATTTTTAAAGCACATTTTTAAAAATTTAAAAAAATTTTTTTACATTGTTGTTCTTTTTAAACAATATTTGCTTCCCCTCACTCACTCAGGTGCAGTCCCCATGGAATTTCCTTCACCAATGCACCTGTGCACCATCACCTCAGTCCCCTGTGCTCCTCCCTCCTCCTCCCTTGCAGTATGTCTCTGATTTATAATTGTCTGTTTGTGCTTTGTTCTGTTTTGTACTGTTATTATTCTTTTACACTGATGTCTTTTATTTAAGTAGTCACTATGTTTAGTAGATACAATATTGAATAATACAGATCTGGAAGCAATGAGAAGTGATAGAGATAGGTGCTTAGATTGATCAGTAGCCTCTTGCAACTATTACAGAGTAGTCCATTGCAGAATCTTCAGGAAAGGGGAGACTACCCTCCTGAGACTGGGGTGGAAGGACTTTTCTGCTGGTACAGAGCACATGGCTGTTTGGGTCTGAAGGTTCTCAGGATCATCAGTATTTACTTATATGTTCCATTCTAATTTTCAGGATCCATGGCCTTTCTAATCAGCACCCTCATTTTAACATTGGAGATCCCACAGAATTGAAAATTCAATTTGTATTGTCATTTTGCCTTCTGGAGAATTGAACTTTGGATTTGTTTTTCAGAAATCTCAAGCCTTGAGAATAAATGAAATAAAGATTTTTTTCTAGGATACTCATAGATTCTTTTAGGTCCCTTACACTGACCTTTAGCTGGGAGTTTAAAACTGTGATGTTACAATTTTTCAGGGTACTTAACGGTCAACACTTTTATACTTCTGCATTTTGACTTGATGTAGCAAATTGATGTGAAGCAACAAATACTTTCTCACCACAAAGCCTTGCCTTCTCTGGGCACTTGATTATAGGTGTCTACAGGTGTTAAGAAACTCTTTTGCCACCACATGCCATAAACTATCAATGCCTCTTATCATTGGAAATAGGGTCATTAGTGCTTTTAAATTAAATCAGTTCAGAGAACCAACCCCAGATAGCCCAGAATTAATTCAGATAGCCCTACCTTAAGGTTTTATTCCCTGGGGCCATTTTGGTTGTCTCATCTCTGTGTTCACAGCCTTACTTTAGGGGCATTTCTGAGTGTTTGTTTATGAGTCCGTTCCTGTCCTGGACTCTTTTCACAGACTTTGTGCTGTTCCTGTGTTTTTTCTGTGCAGGGTTAGGGTAAGAAGTAGCAGTGGTACTATTTTATATCAGATCTCTGACAGCACTTTTTGCATTTGCTTTTTATGTAACATCCCTGAAAGATCATTTTAACTGGTATGTTTGTTAAACATTGGAGTGTGGGTGGTGTACAGAGGAATGGTACCGTAGAATGGGTGGAAGTTGATGCAGAAGACTTTTTTTAGAATAGTAGGTAGATATGCCTCCTTGTTTCTCTCTCTCTCTCTCTCTCTCTCTCTCTCTCTCTCTCTCTCTCTCTCTCTCTCTCTCCCCCTCTCTCCCTCTCCCCCCCCCCCAGCCTTTTTTTGTAACTGTGGTTCTAAGACTTTCATTTCTACTTTTTTTTCCTTTGCAGGTGCCATATTATTATCTGTTAGAATGATTTTCTCTTTATGTTCTCAAATTCCTGAGCCTTTTCTGGGGCCACAGTTTTACCCTTGTCATTTTCTCCAACTCCTTACTCACACCTTTGTTAACCTTCAGTAAGAGAACGGCAAAGTTAATGGGAAAGCTGAAATGCATTTATGTGAGTATAGTAGAGAACTGCAATTCTGGGTACACAGATTAAGGCAGAAACCTAAAATATCTCCTGAGGAGAGCCAAAAGTCAACAGTTTTTTTTTTTTTTATAGAGGGGAAAAGGAAGATGAGGCAATATGGGAGGATGAGGTATGGTCAGTCACAGGTAAGATGTTGGCGGGGAGGGCTGTCACAAAGTAAAAGTAAAATTTACATTATCATTCCTCTCAGACAGATGATTCTTGTTTTTATTGACTTCTTTGGAGGATATTTGTTTGGCCCAGTCTAAAGGGTTGCCTTAGATTACAGAGGACAGTAAAGTAGTTACTCTTCAGTGGCCACTTTGACCCCATTTTTAAATGATTTCAATAACGTTAATGTTTCATACCTTTATCTCCCAGACTGTCAACTTTTTCAGAGTCTGCTTTCCTTTATCCTCAGTCTGGAACTGCTTGGCAGCTCTTCTGATACCCTGAAATCTCACTTCCTATGGTACTGTAATTTATAATAAGAGATATGTATTTGTCTTAGACCCAGATCCTGACACAGAACTCCTAAAACCTTTGAAATTTGTTGTGAAGAGATTTGTAAAGGTGTCTTTTATCATGTTAATGATGTAACTTGGAATACTGTTAGGTGACCTAAGGATGGGGTCTTGTTCCCTGGGAACCAACCAAGAAATTCAAGGGTTGGATCTTTAGGTCCTACCCACTGCCACCCTTCTTTCCTGGGTGGAGAAAGGGAGTTGAGATTCAAACAATTTGACAACGACCAATGATTTACTTGAAGATGCCTAGAAACCAAAGCCTCTATAAAACCTAAAAGGACCAGGTTTGGAGGCTTCTTGGGTTGGTGAACATGTGCAGTTAGAAAAAGTGATGTGCTCTGAGAGGGCATGGTAGCTCCAAGCCCATTCCCCACACACCTTGCCCTGTTTGTCTCTTCTGTCCGCGTGTTTCTGAGTTATATCCTTTTATAATGAACCTGGATACAATTTAAATATCAGTAGAAGGCACAAATCTGTATTCATGAATTTCCGAAAAAGCTTGTGCTTGGAAAAAATTTTTTAAGTTAAAAAATGAAGTAATTAGGTAGTATTATATGTTCAGTTATACCTCAAGTAAATTCAATCTGTAAAAAGACTTCTAGACAACAAAGCAACACAAAACAATTAGAGAAGCTGTTTTTCCTTTGAAATTTTAATTTTGGGAAAAAATAACGTTATAACAAAGTGGTCATTTAAAAATATTCCACAACAGGAACTCATGTTCAGACTGCTAATTGAGGAGCCCTTAGTCGTTTTTATGATAATGTATATTTAAGTTTGTGTTAAAGAATTGTCATTTTCATTATATCTGAATTTGAAGACTTTTTTTTTTTTTTTTTTTGCACATGGCCAGTATTAGAAACAGAGTCAGTGTTCTTCTTGGATGCCTTCTTCATTGCTCAGACTCTGACCACCCCTCTTTTGCCCACACTAGAAGGGTTTATCTAAGGACACTTCTTTCTCTACTGGGATTCCAGATTTCTCTCTGGGTCACCACTTCTGCACCATCTCCCACGAAGCAAATACTTAATTTTCTTTGGCTTTCCTACAAAAAGGACAGGGAAGAAGAGGAAGTTGAAGAGTATACCTGACTTTTTAAAGGAAAATTCTCTTTAAATATTTTTTATTATTGTTATAAAATGAAAATATATATCAATTAAACTTTAAAAGTTTTCCCCATGTAAGATTTATTATATAACTTTTATATCGAATTATGTGCATATAAATGTTTCTTTCCATATTTAGGACTCTCAGAAAAATGTGGAATCCTTTGCATCTATGCTGAGACATTCTCCTCTTACACAAATGGGACCTGCCAAAGATAAACTGGTTATTGGACGAATCTTTCATATCGTGGAGAATGATCTTTATATAGATTTTGGCGGCAAGTTTCATTGTGTATGTAGAAGACCAGAAGTGGATGGAGAGTAAGTAGAATTATTCCAAGTGTTTTAAGAGTGTTCATAAAAAATGGAGATATCTCAAAAGTATTATTGGATTTAGGTAATTTTTGAAAGGATGTGCTTATTTCTTTGGATAATACTTAGTCAAGTTTGGCTGGATTTGTGTCTTCTCAAAGCAGTGCTAGCAATTTTTTGGAAGATTGTTCATTCTGAGAATAAGCCATTCCACACCTAAAATTCAAGCTAACTTTTAGCAATCAATGGTATTTTATATGTGATGAATTACAATGATTAAGGAGTTTGTAATGCTTAAGACCGAGTCATATTATAGAAATAAATAGAGAAAGTGTCTACTCTAGACCTTTCTATAATGGCAATAGGTTGCGTCTGCCTCGAGAGCTCTGTGTATCTGGACTTATCTAATAGGAGATCTAAACTGAATCTGAATAGGACCTGACAAAGTTAATATACATATCCTCAGATTAGTGTTACATAAATATTTAACAGCTAGTTTACCCATAAAAAGAATGACCATGATCTTCCAGTTTCTGTTGTGTTAAAATACTCCCACCATGGCCAATTTTGAGTTACTAGTGTGGTGTCACTGAATGCAGAGTTGGGAATACATGTGCATGGTCAGCTCTCATAAGCTGCTATGGTATACCTCTTCCTTAGATAATCAGAAGCTAACAGCAACTTAGCAAGGTGGATGGTAAAAACCAGTTGATACCTGAAAGAGATAATGGACTTTGGTGCTACTCGGGCATGAGAGGTAATGACCTAGACAGGGCCTTACAATCATATCAGATGACACACAAGCTTAGTCTAAAGTAGTAAGACCTGGGATCTCCCTGGTGTCGCAGGCGGTTGAGTGTCACACTGTGAAGCTGTACGTAGCCTCTGCAGCGCGGGTTTGATCCCGGCCGGCCGGGGAGAAACCCACCTGGCGCAGCAGACCTCTCCTGTCTCACCCGCTGCCCCCCTCAGCAGTGTATTTCATCAGACTGCCTGTTCTGTTCCCTGCTCTGTCTCTGATGAATCCTCTCACCCTCCCATGCATCTGACCTATACCCCAGTTCTTGTATAAATAAATAAATCTTTTTAAAAAAAAAAAGTAGTAAGACCTGAAGAAATTTCTGTGTAGTATATATCTGTCAATACAGATTATAATACTGTATTTATGGTGTAATAAGTTCTTAAAGGGACTAAATTAGATAACATATATGAAGATTTATTTAGAACAGTGAGCGGTATATAGTGAATAGCTGCTGCTAGAAATCCTAGTGCTTCAGGGTTTTTGTGAACTAACGATGACATCCTTCAAGAATTCCTATTGTGGGGCCTCCCTGGTGGCGCAGGGGGTTAAGCACCGCACTCTGAAGCAATCCACAGCCTCTGCAGCATGAGTTCCATCCCCAGCTGGCCAGGGAGCAACCCACATGGCTCAGCAGACCTCTCCTGACTTGCTTGCTGCTCCCCTCAGTAGTATACTTCAATCTTCTGTTCTGTTCCCCACTCTGCCTCGGGTGAATCCTCTCACCCCCGGCATCTCTCGCCTGTACCCCAGCTCTTGTATGCATAAATGAATAAATCTTTAAAAAAAAAAAAGAATTCCTGTTGTGGAGGATTTATGCAAGAGGAAAGTATGAAAGATATGTGGTCCTAAAATTCCTTCAAAGGGAGTTTCCTAAGTACTTGGGTATTGTTAGCAAGAGCTGTAGCAGATTATTTTTCATTAATAGAAGATAAATCAGTAATTTAAAAATGAGGTATTGTATTTTAGAAAAAGAAATCCTACAATTGCTAAGTTTTTCATCATGCTACCATAGGTTCCAAGTTGCCATTCTTATTTTTGTAAGTTAAAATGTGTAAACTTTATAAAAAGATGTATTTTTTTTTTGCATTTTTTTTTTTAAGTTTATTTATTCATGGGTACAAGAACCCGGGTAAAGGCCAGATGTGTGGGAGGGTGAGAGGATTCACCAGAGACAGAGTGGGGAACAGAACAGGCAGACTGACTGAAATACACTTCTGAGGGGAGCAGCAGGTGAGACAGGAGATGTCTGCCCCGCCATGTGGGTATCTCTGCTGCTGGCCAGGATCTAACTCGCATTGCAGAAGCTGTGGACAGCATCACAGCGCTGCGCTCAACCGCCTGCACCACCAGGGAGGCCATAAAAAGATGTATTTTATAGATAATTGCTGAAGTATGACTATTTCACCTGCTCATTTGAGTTTATTATAAATTGCAAATGCTGATGATGCACACGTTTCTTTTAATTTGTGGATGGAATTTTGTTTATGGTATTTCTTTTGTGGGTATTTCTTTGTTGATGTTCTTTTATGGACTGTTCTTTTCCCCCCATTTTAGTAAAATTTTAAAACTAGTTTTGTCATTATATTCAGGCTTTCAGCAATAAAAGTCATTGTATTATTTAGTATAACATTTTATAATGTTAAAGATCTGGAATTTTGATTTGATTCTCCTGCTTTATTGACTAAATCATAGAATTTTAAATATCAGTATTTATTACTAGATATTTCTCTAATTGTAGGTGTAATATGATTACAATTTATTTTATGTATTGTAAAGCTTTGGATAGGTAAATATTGGAATCTGTTGCAACACTTGTTAAGTATTCATTTTTCACTTAAAACTATGCACATGCTACATAAGCACACATTCTACTACAGAAATTTTGCTACATATAGTAAGACCCCCACTTCCATATCTACTCCTCCCATTGAAGCAGTCTATTGAATATTTAATGAAAGTTTGGGGGGAGGGGAGGAGAGGTGCCTCATAATAATTTCGCAAATAAATTCTCTAGTCCGTGGAGCATTTACTGTATCAGTACACACACACACACACAAAAGTTAAATATCCTCTTCTCTTTGTTCTGTAGTTATCTGCAGTAGTTATCGTTTAATTCCTGTTTCCCTCTATTTGCCGACAATCCGGTTATCTCACCAGAAATTCCCACTTAAACTGCCAAAGTATTTTTTTTTTTTAAATTTTTTTTTTTTTTTTAATTTACTTATTTGTTTGTTTGTTTATACATGCACTGGGTACAGTCAGAAGCGCGGGAGGGTGAGAGAATTCACCAGAGCCAGAGCGGGGAGCAGAGCAGGCAGAAGGACCAAAGTACACTGCTGAGGGGAGCAGCGGGCGGCAGGAGAGGTCTGCGCGCCATGTGGAACCCTCCTCCAGTGGCCGGGGAGCAGCCGGGGATCGAACCGGTGCTGCAGAGGCTGCGGGCAGCTTCGCAACCCAGCGCTCAACTGCTGCGCCACCGGGGAGGCCCTAAACTGCCAAAGTATTCACAAAATCAATATATTCATAATTGAAGGTCATGAAGAGGGTGAAACCATATGGAATTAGGAATTAATGTGTTCATTTATTTGTTTATTCATCAATTCAACATCCACTTACTAAATCTCTTCAACTCAGCAGACACTGTTGAAAGGCTGGTAAACAAGAGAGACCTGCTCTGTGCTCTTATGAAGTGCATATTATTTTAGAGGGTAAGGGTGGGATGGAGAATAATTAACAAATCCCCAAATCCATTTAAAAATTTGGTAATTGCATGAGTGATGCTATGGTGACAAAATATTTGGTAAGTAGTCAAAAATGGTCTTTGACCTCTATCTGCTTTTATTGCTAAAAGTCTGAAATGCCATCAGAATGCCTTATTATTATTATTAATATTATTATTATTATTTAATGATAAATAAGAGCCAAAGTCAAAGCTCTGTTCCCTCTCTGGTACTACAGAGTGTTAATGTTATTTCTAACAGTGTTAAAAGGAGTAGTTCACTTCAGCAAAAATTTAACTAGAATAGTTGGATTATTTCATTTCCCCATCTACCTATATATGTACACACCTTATGGCACATATGGATAACAACCAAAGTTCTTTATCTACATATGTGGTTTTTGAGGAAAATTTTTCTAATTTAGCAAATTCCATGTTATACAGTTTTCAGTTTTAGTTTAGTTTTTAGTTTTTAAAGGTTTATAATTTAGAATATTTATTGTATCTCTTGATTCCTATGTGTAGAAATACTTAGGTTCTTTCCAAGACCCTTTTCTGCGTCATGTCACTTAGTCTTTGAAATTATCATAGAAAAGCATCAAATCAGCATAATTACTATTTAAGTTACTTTGCTTTTCTACCTGTATCCAAAACCAAGCTGTTGGATGGGAAATATTTTATTCAAATGTTATCTCTTATCTTTCTTGTGGTGGAAAAATAACACCAAATGGGAAAGTGAAGAGATCCAGCTACATGTTTAGATAATATGACCAGATAGAAGAGCTTGGTGGTCTGGCCTTAAGTTTACACTCTGCTCTATGATGTCCAACTGCCTTTGACTGAGCAGCTGTTGGGACACTACGTCTCAATAGTGGCAGATTTTCCTGCTTTGATACATTTATTTAAGTGACTATACCTAAGCTGTAGGTATTTGTGCAATTTGTTCATCATTCATCACCTCCTTTTATTATTCCTTTAGAGACACATTTTTTTCCTCTTCATTTACTCTTGTTTGGTTAAATCTGTTCTACTTTAGGGAAATATAAAGATTAATTGAATGCAATGAAAACTCAAATTTAATAAAGCACCCAGTTTAGCAAAATGTATTAATATTTCATTATTACTTTTAATAAATTTGGTAGCATTTTAATCTTAGATTAACTGATAAATTTCACAAGTAAGTTATTGGTAAGTATTCTAACTAGCTAAGAAACAGCCTTTCAATAAGTTTTATAATTTTTTTGTTTTAATATTGGTATTTGATTATAAGTTAAAGGAATAGGTTTCAACCTTTGCCCCAAGAATCTCCAGAGTTCTGCAGAAAGGTTTCAGAGATTGCTGTCTCGGTAGAGGTGAAATTAGGCCCTACTTTTAGAACACCTTTGCATGCATTGTTTATATGTTATACTGCTCTGGGAACATTTTGTTTAAAGTGTATGTGGAGAGTGGTAGTGAATATTTCTATAGCAACAAAATTAAGTTTGGAAA